ACTGGTAAGAGCTGTTCCTTCACTTGGTCTTCTTACTACATGTTATTTGAACCTCCAAAACTTTAAAACAATATTATGTATGTTCTCTACAATTTTTTTACATAATTTGCAATTAGTAACAAATATGTTGACACTGTCATTTAACTAAAATTACGAATTTTGAAATTAATACGATTTTTTAAAAGGCAAGCGAAGCTTAAGTGTTCCTTCACTGGTTAGTTTACCCTATATAATTTTTAAAATTGTTTTTATAAATATTGTGAAAATAGTTTTATAAATATAGTATATTAAAAACTGAAAAGCTTTTAACTTCTTATGCTCATTTAATTCAATGCAATTTTTTTAAAAATAAAAATGACATTATTTCTAAAAACTTCAAGCATGATTTCGAATTGTGCCGACATTTTTACCACATAAAATCTTACACAACATTTGCTTCTAAAAGAAAAATTATTTACATAGAGTTTTTAGATAATTTTTTACAATCCCGGAAACTTTTTGATCTTGCTACTTTGTCTTCAGAAATAGAATTACTATATCTAAAAAATTGTTGTAGATACAGAAAATATTTTTCTAGTCATAGCAATTAAATGTAATGCATTAAAATTTTAATTAATCAGAATTTATTCTACCACTAATTATAAACTGTTAAAATAGATGTAAAGAGCAGCTACTACGTTTAATTGTATCATATTCGATTTATTGCACTCTTGTAATGAAGCGGAGACCGTGTACAAGAGCAAAGTATTCAACGTAAAGAAAATCAAGCAAAAATTTAGCTATATTCTTAAGATTTAGCAAAACAGGGTTCCCAAGATCTGGAAATTTTTTTTAAGTCGTTGCAAAAGTGAGATATATCTAGATGTTTTAAGCCATCAATAAATATTTAATTTAAAGGAAATATATATGAGTGCGAAAAATAATTCTGGTATCATTTCGTAATTCACAAATGAAAAATAAATGTAAGCATTTTTTAGTAATAGTATTGAAAAATCGTAGCTACCACTCATTTATTTTTTTAAGGTCATGATGAAACTGTAAATGGTTTATAAGAAATTCAATATGTTTCAAGAATTTCTGCTTTTTTTTCACTTCTACTGAGAAAAATAAATTAACGATAACAGCAATTGTTGGAGAGTATGTTGCTATGAAAGTTATGACTTAACACATTTTGATTTTTCCAGGTCGTAGCACCCTTATGATATAATATACTACTTTAACCATATAGTAAAAGGAATCGGAAAATTAGATGAATTCCAAATAGATAGTTTCTATATTTGGTATGATATTATGTTTTAGGAACTTTATTTGACATATATTTGTAAGGATTTTATTTATTTAATAGACTTTTTTGTACAAGATCTTACCATTGTCCGATGTCCCAAAAGCATTGATTGCCTTACGGACCCACTATAAATATACATTAAACCATAATGAATGAGGTACACCATGTAAGTTAATCTTGCGAATGGTACAAAGCCTTCCCAACTCAGAAAACTGTTGATGATTCCTGAAAAATAAAAGTAAAAACGATTATTAACCCATCTTGAGACAGCTTTTTTTTTAAGCAGACAGTACTATTTTTCGAAAAATACTTGAAATTGCCATCACAGAAGGTTAATTGTTAGCTAATTGTTAGTTAATTGTTACATACCAGCCAATTTTTAATCCTTTCGAGGTTGATTTTGCCCTGTGGTAGTAAAATGGAAGTTGTACTTTTAGGCAGAGACAAATACGTTTTATTTTGAAAAATCTTAAGCAAGCAAGCATGTTTGTATCACATATTAATGTATATGCTTTATTTTTTTTAAGAATACTGCTGATCAGAAACATAAAACTTAAGTTTATAAATGTAAGGATAGCATACATTTACTACCAGGTTAAATAAAAGCAAAATTTTCACTCGAAATGCGTATAAGTTGGCAGGTATGCATTTATTTATATGAGAATACTATAGTGATGTGCGAAAAACGAACGAATCGATATTTTAATCAACTCTTTTTTGTGAATCGATTCATCAAGTTCGCTTTTCAGTCGATTCTTTTTGTCAATAATAATTTAAGAATCAATTCTTTTTGTTAATATTTGGTATTCTACACTGTATCAGCTTATTTAGAGTTAGTACTTATACTTGCTAAACATCCGCATATGCATTTCCTACAACATTTCGTTTATACAATTGGAGCATGCTAAAAACCCAACGCAGTCGACTAGACACAGGTCCATTCTCACTCGATGATCATGTCAATGACAATCTAATTGGTTGAAAATATTTACACGTGAAAAACTTGCCAATAAGGTACTCGTATGTATGAGATTTTTCGCAAGCGAAAAAATCGCATCCAATATGAATGGCCCCGATTTCAATGTTAGCGCACCACCGGTCTCGAGAGGTAATTAATAAAACGGACTCATTTGAAGAATGAAGGGAATTGAAAATGGTTATTAATGCAATGCGTACTGCATTCTGATGCAGTGAAAAGTGTCCATTGCTCTATTTTTTTCTTTTCACCTACGAAATTAATTAACTCTATTGATAAGCAGCAATTTAAAAATGGCAACAACTGAAAAGCTGTCTTCTACAGTTTTGATTCTTCCTTTCAAATAAAAAGAAATTAAAGGTGTGAAGCCCAGATATTACTTTTCAGTACTTTAGTATTAAAGAGCGTATTTTTTCATAAGCAAGGTTAACTTTCAATTTATAAATTTCAGTAAAAGTAAAGCAAAGCAGAGTTTTATGTTACCGTTTATGCTATGCCAAGAAAACAATTGAGAGCTATAGAAAATGAAACAGTTGCGCTGATTGGGTAATGAACTGAAGTATGAATGCAAACCTCTGATTGGATGAAAATGAGTTGAAAGGGAGGAAAGGAATCGAATAAACGATTCAATGAACTGTTGGTCTATCTCTTAGCATTAAATGAATCATGAAACTAAATAATTCGATTGTTTCGAACTGTTTCCTATCCCTTAACATTGAAATCGGTTCAAAGAGTTCAATTGAACTTCTAAACAATTCATTTGAGTCGTTTCGTATCTCTTAACATTGAAATCGTTCAAAAAGTTGATTTGGACTTCTAATCGGTTGTTTTTAGTCGTTTTCCCATACCGTACCCTTTGGGGACGGGTAATTAATAAAAGCATTCCTACAAAATCAGAATCAAGATGTAAATAAATAAAAAACGGTTGCTTAAATGTTGGCGTTGCTAATTTGACAGACTTACTTTGCTTTTACTTTAATAATTGTTAGTTTAATCACATGTATAATCAATGTTAGTTCAAAGTATAACTAAATAATTTTATTTTGAACTAAAGTAATGGTGAATTAAATAAATCAAACAATTTTAACCCCACCCACAAATAAACTGCTAAAGAACTACTTTGGTTACCAGTTTTATCTTCTTACCCTGATTGATACGGTTTTGTGCTGGCACGTATTTGTGACAGTCGGCGAGAAAGAGTTAACATTACATTCGATTCATTGAACTGTGTAAACGATTCTTTGAGTTGGTTATTCGATTCATTTGAGCGTCTTTATATCTTTTAACATTAAAGGAACTGTTTTGTGAAGCGAATCGATTCTTTTCAGTATTATTTTATTTTCTAAAATTAAAGGATACCTACAGTGGGTTCTTTGGAATATTTTTTGGCAAATTTATTGAATATTCAATTCACATCCTTTCACTTTTTCAATTATAAATCCAGTGATTCTGTTAAAACAAAAAATTTTCGTTTTCTTAGGGGGGAGGGGATGAGGCAATTTTTAAAATCTCTTTTGGTAGGAGATCAGTAATATGTCACACCACTCTATACGATTGTTTTTCCTTACTGTAGTTTGTCATTTGAAAATAAAGTACGAATTGACAAACGAGGAAATATTAGACTTTCATGGCTTCCTAAATAACTAAAAAAAAATTATTTTAATAAAAAGAAATGTGTCTGTATATGTTTTTATCTTTGCATTTTTATTGTCTTCGTAAAGCGAAAATTCAATTGGGTGGTGTAAGTACGGTATCTCCCCATCAGCCTTGGAGGAATAGGTACCCCTGTTAATCGAATTTTTGAATCGGTTATTTATTTATTATTTTTGTTTAAGTTTTAAAACGCAATTTAAACTATTTATTATTTTATTTCAGGTCATACATTTTGAAATTTTTTTTTCATTATATGTGAATTTACCGCTTTATTTTTTTACGAATATCTTTATTATTAATTATCGGACTTTATATTGACCAATTTTAAAACAAAAAAAAATTACTTTTTCATAAAATTGTATTTTCTGACAAATATTATAAAAAATTAAAAACATTAAAATTCTAAAAAAAGTATGGTTACGTGGAAAAGTTACAGCTGTTACACAAGATAGTAGTTTATTGCCATCCAACTAGAACATTCAGCTTCTGCACTCTAGATTAAAAGCGGTTCCCAAATGGTATTCCGGGGAACCCTAGGGTTCCGTTAAGAGTTACAGGGGTTCCACGAGTTAGTACTTTTTATAGCCAGTGATGAGTTTCAAAACCTCAGATTGTATTTAGATACAATCTATAATTTATTTAACATTTTGTTTGCATTTATGAAATTAATTCTGAGAAAATATCAATAAAATAGAAATGGCATTTTTGAAATGAAAATATAATATTTCTAATAACAATAAAATGAATAAATTATGAAAAGGACAGGTATTCATAAAATATTGCATTCCTCATCATGCTTTTCCGATTAAAATAATTATCTTCTTTTGTAAAGAAATATGTTTCCTTAATGACCATTTTCAACGTTTGAAGCAGTTCTTCTAAATTTTCATTTCGAAGTAAACCATAATTCGGCTTATTTTAACTTATTTACATTATTTATTTCAAAATTTATTTTTTTTCAACTTAAACACTAAAAAATAATTCATAATTATACTAAATATAGCACAAGAACATGAAATTTAACTTTCGGATATTAATGACAAAACGATGAAAATTCTTCCTTCTTCTAGTTGAATATTTAAAAAATAGTTTTTAATAGGCTATAACGTTCACTATTACCTTAAAAAACTTTATTTATAAAGTCGGAGGATCCGCCGAAAGAAGGTTATTTATTTAGGGTTCGTAGCCGAAAAATATTGGGAACCACTCTAGATCAACTAATTCAGACACTAAAGCAGTCTAAACTAATTTGTACGACCTCCTCTTATAACGACTCTTCTATTATAACGACCATTTGAAAAAAAAAGAATCGGTCCATTTAAATGAATCGATTGGCACATCACTAATACTACTGATAATTCCGAAAAAAAAACAATTATTAGCCATTTTACTATAGCTTTCTTTTAAAAAGATTTCCATTTTTAAAAAAAAAGTTTATATTCATTGTTAATTTTTATTTATATCAGAATACTACTGGTAATTCTTAAAAAAAAAAAATTATAAGCCTATTTTGATACAGCTTTCTTTTAAAAAGACATTGCTGTTTCTCGGAAAAATTTAGAGCGCTATCACAAAAGCTCCACTGTTAGCATTTATTTCGCAAATATACAACATTTTAACAGAAGTCAACTCAAAACATCTTCTTGAAGCTAAAGTGGTAGAAAATTTTTGGGTTTCACAGTGGTGACTTTTGACGTCTACTTAGAAATGGTAACGGAATATAAGAAATTAATGGAATTACGTGTGAATTTTAAAATTATTTTTGTTTTTAAAAAAATTAAATAAATTTATACTACGCATTTTCAAATGGAAAGTGTAGAAACAACACAAGATGATGGAATAAATATTGCTAATAACCCACATAAAAAAAATTCAGTATCTCAGATATAAATAGTTTGAACCATTGATGGAAGCTTCTTACAAAACGCATTAAAAATATCGCAATATTTTTTCTCAAACTGCAAAATGTGAACTTACCGCCTTGTCCCCAAGTACACGATAATGTTATAAACGCTAAACACAGACCCCAAGCCAGTCTGTGAGTGGAGCCATATAAAGTTGAGACAAAGACGTCTGGGAGAGCGTGAATTCCTTGGTTCCACTTGTAAGTCAAAGTCATCATAGTAAAGAATGTAATAAATGACAGAAACCAGCCTATGGCATTAATATGCTGTTAACAAAAAGTCTAATTTAGTCTGCAGTTATAATGAACAATGTCATAGTGAGTCAAAATTCCTGAACTATTATTTAATGAAATTATTTGCATTTCTAAGTGTTAAAGGAATTTGAATTATTAATTAGCTAGCAACTGATTATTTTTGCGCATATTTACTCCAACATTATACCTAAAACAAAAGTAAAACTTGGCTCAGAGCTGCCAACTTGTACCGTTTGTAAACAGTTTGTAAACCAACTTGTACCGTTTGTAACCGTTTTGTAAAAGAGTATTTTCTTGCGGTAACGAAATTTTAAGTTATTTTTAATAATTTTCATTGTAAGTCATTTTTCCCACCACTACTCATCAAAAATTTGAAGTATCAAATATAATGTATCTCTATTAATCACGTGGTTACTTTCCTAAAAAGTAGGGGTAACTATCCTTATTTAACAAACTTTACTGTTTAATTCGCTACCAATTTATTAAGACTTCTGCAGAAAGCGAAGCAGTTTTCAACCCAGTTTACAGCACCCGGGGACGAACTCAGTTTTTGAGTTCCCTAGCAATATAATTTTAGACAAGAGGGGGCTTCCTGGGACTATTTTAAAATACTTAAAATCAAAACTCTACCGCCCTTAGCATCGGATTGTTAAATTTTACAATGTTAAATTTTGCATCTTATTAAATTTTACAATAAAATTTTGAAACAACAAAAAATGTTTTTTAAAACAACGTAAATCGATACCTTCCTAAACTTTAATTCAATTATTTTTTTTAAAAATTAAAGAATATATGTTCTTAATACAGTTCCTATTACAATTAGACGTTAAATTTACAAACACTGGTTTTTATATTTTATTTAATATTATATTTTAAAGGAGACGCAATATTATATAGTAGACGCAGCAATAATCATAATCCAGCCTCTAATGCACAACCAAAACACGTCACTAAAAATAAAAAAAACTAATATATACATCTATGATTCGACCAATACTTTCATACGCATCACCAGCCTGGTCTACAGTTCCATCCATCCTTGGATGGATAAAAATGGCATTTTAATTAGGCTTTCAAGTGGTCCGAAATTGGAAAGCTTTTGCATAGCTTTTGCCTTACGCTAACAGTAACTCTACCATTATTTTCTATCCCTTGGAGACAAGGTAATTTGCAGAAAATTTTCGCTCATGCTCTGTAAAACTCAACTAACGTTAACGTTAGAGTTGCGAGGAACCATAACCCTATTCAGATCTCTATAATAACTTTACTTTTTACCCCTTTAATGTTGTAATGCAATAAAGGGGAAATTTTTTTATTTATTCGTTTTCTTAAATGAAATTTTTCCCCTTCGAATATCGACTTTTAAATTTTGAAAAAAGCTAAATTTAGCTATATCCATAATAAGTTGATTTTTTACCAAAGAAACACTTTTGTTCGAAACGTATATTCAAAGAAAGAAACATTAATAAGTTCAATTCGTAGTTTTAAAACATCAAGTGTCAGCACACTGCGATTATACATATTTTTGTTGATATATTTCTCCCTTATGCTCTACTTATAAAGTTCGAAGCACTATAGAAAAAGCTTTAGGGGCGAAATACTTTTCACTTAAATATAACTAAGACACATATTAAGAACAAAAATATACAAATTATTTCGCTAAAAATGTCAAGAAAAATTGCATACTTTGTGTTTCTTTAAAGTTTAAAATATTCATCTGAATACACTAAAGTAATTGGTCTAAAAAAAGTGTTGACAAAATATTTCCTTTTATATCCACTTACAACCTTTCTGAACTAAAACGACAATACAGTCAGGAATAAAAGTAAAATGTTTTTTGATACACTGAAAACAGTTGTAAAACAAACAAACTTAATACTTCTGGTATATGCCCTTTTCTTGTCGCCAAGATGTAACCAACAATTAATCCAATAGCACAAACAGGAAGGTGAAAATGAATTTGTGTGTATCCTTTGACAGCATAAAAAAACCAATCACTGTAAAAAAACGCATTTAAGAACTTAAAAAAGTATCTACAACAAAGCAAACTACGAAATATTAAAGTCAAAATATTGAAACACCTATTTGATTAGTCCTGCGTCTTGAGTTTGAGTAAAAAGTAAGCAATAACTTATACGCATTATGCGTTGGTCAATAGCGCATTAAATTTTTTCGCTATATAAAATGACAATTTGGGAAAAAATTACTTTTTCTAGAACAGTAATAACATAAAATTTTTATTTTTATTGCTTCAAACAGAAATTTTTAAGCAATTATCTCGTTTTTCTAAGTAAACATACCCAAAAGTTTAGAAACTCCTGCCCTAGCAGTTTAAACGAGTTCTATATTTATTAAAATAAAAATTAATTTCCTTTAATTTATTCGAAAATTAGGAGCATTAATTTTAAAATGAACTTCTTATTGACTAGTTTTTTATAAGGAAACTTATGAAGTTAAATATTTCAGAAAATTTAACATTAAATGACTTACTCGATATTCAAATATGAATGAAGATAAGTTGGTGGAAGCTTGTAATAAAGATGAGAACATGCTGCTAGCAAAACACTCATGATGGTTATCAATCCAGCTAATAAGAATCCTCTTCCCGGCCTTCTACATTAATTATCAAAAAAATAATAATATTCAATTTTGCACTTTAACTATTGAAGTAAAATCTGCAGGATTTGGACAAAAATATGGAAAGAACTCTATGTAAACACTCTTTCTTTTCACAGCAAATGCTTTGGTAGGCTTAATGTGATAATGCTTAAAACTTTTAGAAATAATGTCCTTTTTATCCATGCAAAATTTGCACCTGCCAGAATGAATGTAAGGAGTCAAAAGATTTTTTTTTAAATACCACTATAATTTTAAAAGCATCTTTATATCTTTATCCTATAGCATATTAATATTATTTGCATATATTAAACCCCGCACCACCCTTTCCACATCCTAAATTTTTAGATTTATTAACTTAGATGAAGGAGCAGATATCCCCTTAGCTTAGGCACTCCGATGAAACTGAATCAGTCAGTCAGCTAATATTATTTGCCCATCTCATCTCGGCAATACACCACTCTTTGCACTTGTGAAGCTTCGGGTTTTACCCCAAGGGGTGGCCAGATTTAATTGTATTGTAATTCAGTAAATTTTTTCGATGTATAAGAAGTGTAAGCTATTATTTCCCACTCACATTTTTGCTTCGTCAACTCTCAACTCAGCTTCAATGAGATGAATGAGCCAGAGCCCCTCTCAGGGCTGGCACTCAGATAAAAACCGCAAATTGGAATAGGTATAAAGAAAATACTTGCATGAAGTGTGCCGAAGGGCACTACTCATATCTGTGCGAGAAAGCCCGAGACTCACCAGCCAGATGCTACAATAGCATGAAGGACCATATTTCGAACTTATCTCAGTGCGAGTCCCGCCCTAGTAGAAAAAGCCATTTTAATCACTAAACCTCCTCTCCCAAGAGGTTCACCCCCTGAACACTGATGATTTCCTGAAATCAACGCCTGTCTACCACCATTGATGCTGAACTTTTTTTTCCTTCTCTTCTCTATTTATTTTAGACTCCCATCCACCGAATCTACATTATCGACTTTTGATCTCCGATGAATCGGTTAATGCTATTTCCAACGTTACAAAAATATTTGTTATTACATCTAAGTTTAAGTGTCCTCATTTTAGTCGATCGGCCCAAATACTACATATGCTAAAATGGCATTTTCACTTCATGAACTTATGCAAGTAGGTTAGTCATGTGAAATCGACCAAAATATTTGTTGGCTGAAGAAGCATCGTTTGCATAGAGCTTAATCCCTGTACTACATTCGCTTGAATAAAACGCTATGAATCATTTTTAGCATATTTACTAAATAATTTTGAGATGTAAATAATTTTCTGGAACATATATCATCTTAGAGAGATTAAAGACAGATAACTGAAATTTTTCAATTTAATCACTTATAGTTTTAGAAGCTGGAAATTCCTATCCAGCAGAATGTATCAATAATATAAAATTACGTATCTTGTTATGAACTGTACTACTTAAGGTTTATAACCAAACTAGTTGCTAATTGCTCCAGACAGCCGATAATTATTTTCAAATGGAAGTCTTTAAGGTATGATTTTTGGATTATTGTAAGTTCGATTTATAGGGTTTTTACTCACCATTAGTTGCAAACAACTCAATGAATTATGTAATACTCTACTTTTTTATATGTAAGTTGGCGAAATTTCGTTTGTAGTTTTCAACCGTTTTTATTTTTAAATTTTTTTTACCTTATCCGGAGCAGTTAACATCGTTGGAAATTTTCATTTACTTTTTGTGTAAACTTGCTACCACATTTTTCATTGAGGCTTTTTTTTTCCACTTTTGCAAAATAAGAGGGCGGCATGTAAACAGTTAAACCAAAAATCAAATAAAAATCAATAATTCTTTGTTTCTCTTAACCCTTTGCATTCGAAGTCCTTTCAACTGTTAAAAAAATGGGCGCAAGCACTAACATTTTGGAAGAATTTTTGTAATCTCACCTTATAAAATCCGAGGATCACTGAATGAAGTCGTAACTAAACATTAAGATGAAAATAATTTCATAATTAGAGTGAAGGGTACTTTACAGGTGACTGACAGTCACCTCTCGAGTGGAAAGGGTTAAAACTAGGAAAATTCTTTCACAGAGATTAGATTTCAGGTTATTAGCATAACTAATTTCTTATATTTACTTTGTAAGCAGCACAACTTACCTTCTCATGATTGCGCAGACATACAAACTCACTATAAATATTTGGGTGTCTGTAGATAAGTACCAAGTCCATCCTAAGCACTAAAATAAATAATCCAATCATATTCATATATAGATATCCCTGTTACAGGTACTATAGTAAAAACTAGAGGGACACCAAGAGGACTTAATAGAAAACTAGAGGGACACCTAGAGAGCTTAATAGAAAACTAGAGGGACACCTAGAGGGCTTAATAGAACACTAGAGCAATACACAGAGTACTCTTTTTGAAAATTAGAGGATAATCTAGATTTTAGTGGTTTCTATTCCTAAGAGCCCTATGAATTCAGACAATATTTCACTGCTTATGATTTTCAAATTACTATTATTTACGAAAACTGGTTGTAAAATTTATGTTCAATTAGTTCTTTATTAATTGATATTAGTCTGATAACCATTCTCCATATTTATTTTCATCTTTTTTATTCATCTTTATTTTCACAAAAACAACTTTTTAGCTAATTTTTTTCAGTAAAGCATGAGAAAAATCAAATCAAGAACCTGACACTCGTGGCCGGTAAATTAAACTGTCTGACATAAAACGCAATTTTAAGACTATTATTTATAACGCTACATGATTAAAAGATGTCCTTCTTATATTAAATCTTTCCAAATAATTTATAAAATTGCAATTAATAATTTTTTCTAAAAAATAGCAACCGATCGTAGATTAATTTCTTCACAATTCCTTTTACTTTATCTTTTATAAATAGTGTATGAACATCCGACCCAATTCTTAGTTTACGACTATCAATGGTAAACTCCGTAACCTTGTAATTTTGAACCAAACCCAGAAGACAAGGGATCTCCGGGATCAAACAAACCTTCTCTGAGGACTTTTTGATCGAACTAACCCACATATGCGTTACTTTGAGCAGAAAACCACATACATTCACGGTAAGCTAGACGGCATGGTGATTCTAATCCATGAACTCTGGTCAGTGTGAACAGAGAACAGAATTCGTACTTACCAGACAGGGCTGTGATTCGAACCTGGGGCATCTCATTGTCAGACGAATGCTCTATCCCTGAGCCACTACAGCTCAAATTCACAAATATTTATGAGCTTTATTAAGTTTTGGGGTTTTGCTCAAAAAAGTTCGAACATTTAAGGTTTCATAGCCCAAAAATCTAAGAACCGCTGATCTAGAACAGCGGTTTCGAATTTTTCTCGGCTGCGGAACACTAAATAAACAAGTTTCATCCGACGGAACCCCGACATCATAGTTTAAATAAATAAAAACAAATGCGTTACTAAAAGAAATAAAAGACTACTTTATTTTGACTTTTGGGCTTTTTTATAATTATTAAGATGAATGAACTTTTTTTCATCATTTTATCATTAATAATTTTAAATTACGTTTTATTTATTTAAATTGTTGATAGTTGAATTCGCAGTCTCGGAGTATACCTAAACTAGCTAAAAAAATGTTTTTAGCTATACTCCTAAATATGTTTTTAGCTATTTTAGGTAAAATAAGAACTGAATAAACTTTGAAAATGATTATTAGGGAAACATATTTCTTTATTAAAGAATTCAGACATTTCATTTTGATTTGAAAAGCGTAATGGGAAATAGTATTACAATTTTTTTACAGATGCATGGCCTTTTCATAATTTCTCTTCATTATTGTTTGAAATATTATATATATGTATTTTTTAAAAAAATTCTTTTCTCACTCTTTGGCATTTTACTTTAAATATAATTTGAATAATATAAGTAAATAATGGAATATTGATTAGATCCAAATATAAGTAAAGATTTAAAATTTTTTTTAAAGTGTAAGAAAAAATTTAACCCTCGGAACCCCTTTAACTCCTCCACGGAACCCTTGAACCTTACGGAACACCGTTTGGGAACTGCTGATCTAAAGGGTTTAATAGTAAATTAGAGCATTAAAAACAAACTTTTCAAACACCGGGTTAACTGCTTAAATAAAATTCTTTAACTAAAAGCTCAGTAACTAAATAAAATTCATCACGTAAATTAAGTTTAAAAGAATCTTGAGAAATTAATAAAAGTTCTACCTGAAAGGAAATAATTTTGCATTTCAAAAGGATGTTTCAAAAACTAAACCACAACGTAAGGAAAACAAAGTTTTTGGATCTGATCAATTAGAAAATTTTGTCTGAGCCGAGAAAACTCTTACATAATCAAAGCTGCCAAGTTTCTAGCCTTTCTAGTGGTAACTAAGTTTACGTTTTGGTGTTTTACTTTTTATTTATTTGAACTTATTTTCCACACCACTACATATAAATGATTTAAAAGTTCATATGCAACGAACTTTATTCTAGATCTTTCGTAGGACGATCGGGTCTCTTCTTTAACAGAGTTACACTTTTTGTAATGATCTTAACGTTATTCATTATGAATATTTGTTAATTCTTCCCATTTTTTGTAAATATTTTTCCTTCCTGTAACTTTCGTTTCCCCATTTGTAAATATGTCTTGAACTTTTCTATACAATCAATTATTTGTTACTTTTTACCATAGCGAAGTGCCATTCTTTTTCTCTACCTTAACATGAGTCATTATTTGTTGCATTCTATGTAATCTGTCTATAGTTTTTGCTTATGTTCTCATTACAGGACGAATGGGAAGAGGGCCATTATTGATTTCAGGAGGCCAGCTAGACCAAACAGACCAGATCTGGATCTTTCGTGAATTTGTGGTGAGGCTTTAAAAATGCTGTCAAAATTGCCAACAGTTCTGAAAGTTTTGGGTTTTAAATGCTTGCAAATTAATCCGCTATACCACAGGCTAATACGATTTCTGCGAGATTCTGATTCGACGCAGTGATTTTTGTTTTCATTACTTTCTCTTTAGTGTCCATTAATGAATTGATCTGCTTATAAGTTACCATATGGTTTCAATCAGCCTAAGCGTTACTGGAATCATTCGTTTTTCATAGAGACTTGCAGAGCGTTTACTTACTGGGGACAAGAATTTGGAAGCATAATGCTGTACAACTTGACATTAAACTTTACCTTGATCTTCAAAACTTACCGTTTTCGACGAATAGAAAATGTTGTTAAGGTAAAACAAATTCCTCCATCCTCGTTCTAGGCAATTCTTGCTCAAGAAATCAGCAACAGTTTCTTTCCACAGAGGTCCAGATCCAAAACGTCCGATAATCGCAAAGAATGCTACAACTAGCATCATAGTTGGAGTCAGCCTATACATCGAGAAAAAAAATAATTTTGCACAAAATTATCAGATTTTTTAAATCCGAAAAATGTTACACCTTATTTATGGAATTGCCTCTTTTTCACTTTATGCTGTTAAAATATTGTAATTTTAACGAAAGTAAAAAGTTGTGCTTTTTAGTTTTTGACATCCCTTTTAGAAATTGGTTTAAGGGTTCATGACAATACGATAATTCAACAAAGCGCATAAACACTTTGTGAATTGTCAATCATATATTGTAAAATAGTACCCACTCAATATTTTAAATTTACTTTTCAGAAATTTTAAAGAACTGATAGTAGTACTATTCTGAGCAATTACTTTTATAAAGTGAAAGGATACAAGATATTTTTTCAATAAAATTATCAATACAAATTGGTATTTCTTTGATACAAATTTTCAAACTACCAGAGATGAATCAAATAAGAAATAGTCTGGAATATCTCAACAGAGAAAATATTTGAAAAAGTTCAGAAGGTTGAAAATGTTAGTTTTGATTTAATTTCTGGAGTCATTTTAGCTAGTAATAACATTTAAATACTTTTATTCTCTTGAATTGCAAGTGTAATTTGGTAGACTGAAATAATTAAAATTTTTCGCCTTGGTTTAAATGTATTCGAAATTTTTTTTGGATTTCACCACCCTTATCTACCTTACTCAGTCACAAATTTGTCAAAAATATATTTCAAAAATATATTTATTTATTTATTTTTGTGCTTTTAATACATACTTGCGTAAGAAGCATTATGTTTTTTTATATGCTATTAAAAAATAAAACTGAACCATTTTGCATAGTTTTCCGCAATACAAATTTTGCTATTAAAAAGGAGATTTTTAAAAATTAAAATTTTTAATAAGCTAAAAATAAGCTGCAGTTTGAAGACTGTGGTGATTTGGCCGATTTCGCAACAGAATTTTTGAAGTCGAAACACTGCAAAATTACTGCAATTTGTAAACTGCAGTAATTTCGTAGTAGTGCCAACTTCAAAATTTTTACTGTTAATATACAAAATGTCGGTATTTAGTGATGCAATCTATTGTGAGCGATAGAAAATACTATAGCTTTTGTTTAAAAAAAATTCCTTTTGAAAAAAAGTTTTGATAGAAAAATTACTTTTATCTTAATCTATTCTCAGGTTAATTATCTAATTAGGAAGTATAGTACTTGTGAAAGTTTTCGTCGGGAATATCTCGACACATGTATCCTGGGATTCGAACTCGCTTCCTGTCCGGCGTGAGATTGACCGATTAGCCCTCTCGGCTAAAGCCCTGTGTCAATCAGGTTGCAAAAAACTAAATAGTTTCATGAGGTGGGTCTTGTTGGCAAGGATAAGTTTTTGTTTGTTAAATCTAATAAGGTGTAAACACAGTTAATACATTTTCTCAGAGTTAACAGTTTGAATAGCATCATTTCATAGTTATCCAATTGTTTTGATTGTATACGGTAAAATAACAATTAAATGAATTATTACTTAAGAGTGTTTTTTATTAAAAAAATCCTAACAATGTAGATTTGAGTTTTTTTCCCTATGTTTTGTTATTTTTCTTTTAAGTTTAATTTTTAAAAGCAAGGAGCTTTTACGAATTTTTAAAGTAAGCAGTTTTATAAATATTATGCTCATTTAGGTTCAATTGAAAATACCATGAATTATTTTTTTTCAAACAAAATTATTTGTTTAATTTATAGAACTTTATTTTCTAGCAATTAAAAAGGTATATTGTTTTAAATTGCCTAAATTTATTTAAGACAAATTTCTGAAACAGAGTGAAATTAATAAATTTTTGATGGAGAGCTAAAAAATCTAGACTAAATATCCCTTTTCAAATTCAATTTTTAAATCTCTTCTGATATAAATTTGTTTAAAATCCAAACTAAATATTTATTTTAATTAGACGAAATAAGTATAATTTTTGTTCTGCGATTATCCTAGCTTAGTACGAATTCGAATAAAAAAATTAACTAATTAGCATTAACTACTTGCCTTTACTTTAATATTGTTTTTATCATAAACACTTTGCGCAAACTTAGTTTTCTTAAGTCAAAAAGAAAGAAAGAATAAAAATAATAAAAACACAGAAATATTTAAATACCTAATTTTAGGCATATATTTAACTATTTAATTGTGTCAAAGTTTTTGACGCTTCAAATTACAAATAATTACAATTAAATCAAATATGTATTTTATGAATTTTAACTTTTATGAATATAGTTAGTGTACGTTATTTCCGTTATCAATATATATGTTAAGAATTTTCACCTAATTATAAGAAATTAATATATAATCAAAAAAAGAAAGAAAAAAAGACATAAACATTCTAAAAAGTTTATATACCAACCAGGAAAGCAAGATTGAAGACATCAAACTCTTTCAATTTTACAACAATACAAAGTAACTGCAGTTTTTCTGCAGATTCATCAGAAAGTATACTTTTGAAACAATGACTGCATAATTACTTCAAATTTACTGCAAAATAACCACGGATTAAGATAAAAATAAATTACCTGAGATACCTTTTCAGAAATAATTGTTTCATATCTACTTTTCCTCTCATTCGGATGTAAACATATGAGAGAAGAACTGAGCTTGATAAGGAGAAAAAAAGAAAGAAAAATACTTGAATAGTTTTATATACTATGGTGGTGCATTAGTTAAATAGAACAATAGGAAATGTGATTAAATTCAAATTTAAATTATCGACTATAAAAGTACGTTTGAGAGTCACCCTAAATGTTTTTTTTTATTTAAAGAAACGGAGCTTAACGGAATGTTTTGGTAGTTCGTGCACCCTTTTTTTTATCAAAGTGATACATACTTAATTTTCTTAATTATTCAATATCTCTGCCACCTTTCATTATGTTTATAATCGTATAAATTTACGAAAACAATCGCCTTGACGTTCTGTTATATTGTTAAATTAATCAGACGTGAAACAAATGCGACAGAAAAGTAGCCGTTATTAATTACTTTAAATTGATTGCTGCTTTATTATTGGCACCACTTTCTATATTTTTAAGCACACGTTCCACCACTGGAAGTTACTAATGTGATAAAATAAGTGACTTCAATCTGCCAGTAGTTTTAAAAAAATTTCCAGTTCGTAGAAACCCTGTTTAGATGAAGAATTATTATAGTAAACAAAATAGGATGCCTCGTGTAATTCGTGTGACGCTACATGTAATTCTCAGCCAAAATGTCCAACCCACATGAGTATTACAGTTACAATTTTTTTCAAAACAAATACAAATGACAAAGTCCGGATTTTGCTCCCTTGGGTAGTACTGCCCACCACGCGTAGATGCCTGCCCCTAAGACTCATTATAAATTATGATTATAAATTCTGTAAAGATTGTTCGAGAAAGTAAAATCGGCAGTAAGGACCGTTCTCCCTGAATGCGTAAAATATAAACTAATAGAACTATAAACTAATAGACTCGTAACTCATAATTTATAGACTAATAGAATTAAGCAGCGCCTCTTAACTCATTTATTCTCTCTGCATTTTTTTTATCTATTTATCTGTTTTTTTGTTGTTGTTTTTTTTCGTTTTCTTTTTTTTCTTGTTTTCAGGAAAAAAGTTCAACCATTTCTGGTAAATAACAAAAACTGTTAAAAAGGAACATACACGTTTCAAAAACAGTTTCTGATTAATTTATTTATTTAATGATGCAAATTACCAGCAGGCTCGTATGCTCATTTACATAAGTAAGACTTATAAGCCTTTGCCAGTAAGAAGAGAGATGATACAATCCAGGAAGATACATTCAGGATTTATCTCAGCATCTTAATTCTCTTAGAGCATTCAACTTCAATTTTAGGAATTGAAAGCAAGTTCTAACACAAAGATTACTTTCCTAAGTCAATTTCATGGTCTTTTTAATCAAACCAAATATATTGGCTTTTTAAATCGAAGCTTAGAGGTTATACTTCTCACAGAAGGTATTTGTTTTGGAAAAAAAAAGTATGTATTTAATGACCACGTAGTTGGTCAATTTTGCAGAGTGTTATATTCCGCTCCGAAAAAAATTTAAAAATGTGGCACACTTGTAAGACACAAAGTAATAGAGAAATAAATTTAATATAGACAATAAACATTTATCTACAATTTTATTCACAATAATTTACAAAGTAACTCAAAAGTGTCTTGCCATTTTTTACTTTTAATGGCATGGAATAGTATAAATTAAAGTATAAATATTAGTAAAAATTTATATTCCTCCCCTATCCGAAATGAGCATTTTTTTCAGCGTTTGAAGAAAAATGCGGTAAGTTCACCTTCAAATGTTTGTGACCGAAAACTTATATTTTATTCTAAATAAAATAAGCAAAATTCAAAAATTCTAGAGCATTAAATTCCATTTTCAAGAAACAAAGTTTTTCAAAATTTTGTTCCAGATTCCTCTGCATCTTACTCGAGAAAAAGTAAATCATAATGAATAGTTCACAATCAAGAATTGTATAACTTATTTTACTTCTCCTGAAAACAAACTATTTGCAACTATTTTTTTTAACCTTTCCTTCCCACTTTCAGGCCTGATGGATGTTGATCCAGGAAATTGCTAGTCAATGCTTAAGCGATGCATACAAATTGCATTTTATTCAAACTTTAAAATTCCTTGAACTTCTCTTTTACTTCGTCTAACGTGTGATAAAAAATATTCAGATTTCGAAATAAAAACCCTATTTAAAAATAAAAGAAAGCGAGAGCATAAGATTACATCGCATTAACCTAATTTTGCACTCCGATGTAACCTCTTTGGCACCATCAACAGTTACTACTCTAAAACTAAATTTTTATAACATAATAATTAGTAACCACATCAAAAACAATTTGAACCTTAAAGACCACAATACAAGACAAATGGGAAAAAGGCCGCGAACGGCCCCAGGCGCCCAGATATATTTCGATGATGATGATGAAAAACAATTTGAAAAAGCGTGAAGTTGCCAACGAAAAATGGAAAAATGGAGGTACGAAACAAAAAACTCAAAACATCCCTGCCGCAAATAAGGGTAAAATACCAGGAAAAAAAATCAGGAAAGGAAAATCAGTGTAATATGCATTTCCACGCGTTACGGAGAGGTAGAAATTGGTTTCATAAACAAGGGAACTTACATTCAAATGAGTGAAACAAGATTCCAGAATATCAAGATGAGCTGATGTGGCTGGAGGGGAAATAATTTTAGCATTAACTACATTTCTCTAATTTAAAAAAAAATTATTTTTTCGAATCCAGTTGGCATCTCTGCCTTTATAAGCATGTATATTTTTAACTCCTGGAAACATAATGCAATAGCAGAGCTAAAGGTTTTAGTATGAACAAACGTCTAAAAATAACGAAGGCTCACAAAAAAGATCACAATCTGGAAAACCTATAATTTTCTCAGCAAAATATTAAGCATAGAATATCAATCTGAACACAAAAAAATAATAATTGAAGTTTTCAACAATTTGCGGAAGCTCCCTCCCTCTTTCATACTATGGAAACACTTTACCCTTGCTGTTTTTTGTTACAGCAATACCATGCCAGCCCTCACACTTCAAGACAAACCTCAAAATGGCTGGACGTTAATGGAATATGTATTTTAAAGTAGTTGGCTTCATACGCTGGTCTTAGTTGAAATTACGAGTGAAAATTTCATAAAAAGGGTAATCCATGAAATTAAGGGTATTAAAAAAATCCGAAGTCACATTAACTTAAGTGAACTAATCAGTAGGTTTTGCTATGAATTACTTAGACAGCACTACTCCATTGTGCTGCTTTATGTAATCTGTTTCTACTAATGTCCAACTTTATTTTTCTTAAGCAGCTAACCAGCTGTTTGGTGGTCAAGAAGTTGGCTTCATACCTGAAAAGTTACGAGTTCGAATACCGCTTTTGGCATGAGTGTAATTTCTCTTTTTTCTGGTTGAGGTGATGTTGATCCTCTTATACTTGATGACAACGAAAGCAAGCTCAACAGTGAAGTATTAAGAGGCCGTATGTTGCCAACAGTGCTGGCCAATGAAAATAAAAATCGGAAAAAAAATTTATGCAAAATATTCATGTTTCTGTAAATCGCCCAAAATATCTGAATTTCCTTAAACTTATTTTCAGAGGTGCACGCTAAATAAAATGTTTAAAAACATTCATATGATTCTACAACAAAAATGCATTTTTACTTCAAAATAAGCATATTCGGCCAAGGTTACAGTTAACTGTTATACATAATTTAAGAGATTTTCTTGAGATAGTTCCATAACACTGAAGAAAACGATCCAACCAAACGTCTTTAAAGGTATAAGAGCAATCCGTTTATTTATTACTTTTTCTTTTTCTTTTTTTTGTTAGCCGAATCTCAACATTTATTATTTAGATAACCATATTGCAAAGCTTAATTGCAATATAATAATGCAAACTGTTCATAAAAAGTCTTAAATTGTGATGTCGCAAGATTCAATGAAACTCGAGAATAGGCATAATAAAACTCTGGCTGCTTATTTTTGTAGCAGTGCTTCTTTATCCAGAACAAAAACTATTTTTCTTTTAACTCCAATTTGCTTTCCACTTACAAGAAAGTATCATCTTAGAGCCAAAATTTACAAGATGGATAGGATAAATGTTACTGGTGATGATAAAAGAAAATTACCTCATAAAGAAAAAGTTTTCAACCGCTAAAAATCCACATGGTACAGTCTGGGAAAGGAAATCTTTCACCAAGTCTTGTCTGTGGAATACTCCATCTGAAATCAAACGAAACGAAATGTTAAATTGATATCATTGTTTAAGGTCATATGTTTTTGACACGAGTTATTTTCAAACGTGTAGACAAGTGAAAATGTATGCATATAAACGCATACCCATTTCTAAACTTGGACATTTAGACAAAACATAAACTAAACTAAATATGCAATTTTGAAAAAAAATATGCCGCTTTCAAAATAAACTTAATATCAAATTTGAATTCCCTACACCCGAATTAGGTAAAATCAAATACTTACATGAATGCAACAAAAAATTTGTCCCCAGGGTAATCTGAATATCTAATTGCATAAAATTGTGTATTAGATTACTAGACCCATAATTATGAACATTTTCAAGTAGAACATATGAAAGTAAATACATGTGAGGAAACTTTCGTTAAATTTCAATTTAATTAATAATAACATCATAAGGCAACAATGAATCTATCATTTCTTTCGTGCCTTGCGTGTTTTACATGGAGATTCAAAATTAAATTGTGAAATTAATTACACATTTTATACGAACATTAAAATGTTCAGCTGAATTTGTAGTTTATATTCGATTTCATAAACTAATAAAAATGAACGAAAGTTTTCCTTCTTTTTATCACAAAAATGTTCTCCATGCAAATGTCTTTACAAACCTGTATCAAACATGCCGAGATATTACAGTACGAGATTGCAATTACAGTATATTAGGATTTTCCGCAGAGGACAACAATGACGGATTCTTTGCAATACAAAACGTGAGCAGGGTGGAGCTTCTTAACTGTTTTGGTTTGATGTTTATGTTTGCCTCTAAGCAAAAGAAAGCTCCTAAGCAAGGAGGCTAATGTTCAACTATGTTTTGGGCACATTTGAGAAAGGGTTTACGTTTTGGATTTAAGCATGATTAAGAGTTATCTAAGTTACGTCACTATGTGAAAATTTGACTTGTTGAGGATAATTGTTTAAATAATTAATTGGCGCAATCCCCAATTGGGATGTAATCGCTTAGCATCATAAATGAATTATTCTAATCAAAATTTATAACATATGGACAAGATTAAAAACAAGGTAATGGGAAGCAATAGTTAAAATTATATGCTTGCCGGAAAATATAGTTATTTACAAGTCAAAAAAATTATTCGAAAGACTATAGTAAATACAAAAGGAAAATGAAATTGAAGAGCCAACATGGGGTCCTCCATGGCTGTCCTCTGTTTCATAGAAGGGTTACTCCCTAATCAAATCTGAGTAATAAATGTCTATATACAGTATTTACAAGCTAATATTGATTGCTTGTTAATTCTTATTAGTATGTAAGATTTACAGACTAGTGTCTGAGAGTAAAAATAGCATTACCGGACTAAATTTGATGTTAAAATGTCATTAAAATTTAAGACATCATTGTTCTGGGCTTCTATGCAGAAATTGATGTTAAGCTTTGCGATGTGGATATTTATGCCTTCGATCTCTTGTTTTATCTTTAAAGTGCTTGTGACTCCAAGAGCTCCTAGCATCCATCTGATAATCTTTCCTTCAGTTGTTGAGAGTTTATTTGTAAGGTGTTGATAATGGAGATGCATAAGTTAAAATAGGATGAAAACATTTGAGACTTTTGTTGCTAATGCTGATCTGTGAGTCAGGATGAAAAATTGGTCAGAATAAAATTTGTGCTTTTTGAGCAGTTAATTCGATATGATCATTTCATATGTATTTATTATTTGTGTTAAGTCCTAAGCACTTTGCTTTCTTGTTGCTGTTTCTAATGACACTTGGACAAGTCAAGATCGTCAGCTATAGCTCTTGCGAATTAAGTCAGGAAGGAGCTTCTTTCGTTCGACTAGAGAGAATCTCTAGGGTGAAAGTGCGACTTAGCTCAGATCGCCGGGTAGAAGGTAGCACCACTCATTTGTAAGGCCACTTGCACAATTTAGACATAGATCTGAATTGAAATGAAAATTTTTTCAGATCCCTGTACCCATGGTGCTGTTGAATGACTGACCGCAGGACTTTGAATTCCGCTGATTTTATGAGGATATATGTACTTGTTGAGTCTTAGCGGCTTCGATGATCGATTCCCGGCCAATTTTCTTAGTTTTGAAAATAGGTGTTTATGCCAGATTCTATCAAATGCTTTTGCGATATCTTACATTTCTTTATTGTATAAACCTTTATCAATGAATTCGGTTATTTATATTTTGATTGATTGGTGTTGGAGAGATTTCTCCTGAATGCATACTGCATACTATATCCAATCATCTATCTAATTTGATGATAATTCTCTACAGAATGGTTTTCTACGCCTAATTAAGACTAGAAAAAGAAGAAGAAAAGATACAATACGAAAGATTTTTTATTTCAATATGAGGAATTTTTAGAATCTCTTTTTTTATCGTAAGCATTCTTTAATTTAATTTTTTTAGAATCTAAAATAATGCCACTTCACTTAAAGATACTACTATTATATGTACAAACCATAAGACCGATACCAACTGATGCTTCATCTGCATGGTGCAGAGCACCAGATAACTAGCTAAATAAATTTGACAGTTTGAAATATTACAATTCATTACAAATGCTCCATACAACGTCAGGAATCAAACTTGAGAAGATGGCTTAAACTATCTTTTTATCTATCAGTATATTGCCTCATTGAATGCCAATTTTTCAGTAAAGCAAAAAAATTTGACGAGGCAAAATTTAATATCTTCAGCACAGGATCTTAAATGAAAATATCATACACAGCACATTAACATCATTTTTCTTATCATGTACCTGTATTACAACAATTATTATTTTTTTATTTTAATTTTTATGCCGACCATGACTATATGACTAGCCATGTCATTATTTTTTCACTTTGAGTCGTGTCATATCCGATGAATCAGTGAAAGTCCACCCGGGTACTGAGCAACCAGAACTATTCAAAGTCGAAGTAGAGCCATATCTACTTATCTTTAAAAAGATGCGGAATATATTATTAAAAGTATTATACTATTACATCTCACCATTCTCCAAAATTACAACTTCACTCATGACAAGCAAAGCACCGATATCCTGTGGCAGTGTTTCTACCACACAGTGTGCAATCGCTTCTACCACTATGACTTATAATTGATATTATTCATATATAATATTTCGCTTAACAGTGCCAGTTGCCCCACCTGGTATCATAAAAATTATACAGGCCTACTTACATAATAGAACTTTTCAAGTTAACTTTAAACACATGAAATCAACCAACAGAAAAGTAACAGCAGGAGTGCCCCAAGGAAGCATTCTTGGGCCCATATTATTTATATTATTTACTCACGACTTTCCTGTCGACAAACAAGACTTTAATAGCATCACAGCACTTTTCGCAGATGATACTGGAAACGTAGTGAAGTCCAAAAACCCCAACATTGCCCTTCGAAAACTCCAAGAAAAACTGAAGGAAATCGAAACATGGTGTCTAGACTGGAAGTTCAAAGTAAATGGACAAAAATCAGAACTACTAATCATCCAGCATGAAAGAAAAACCATCCTCCCCAAAAATCAAGTTGTTCTCTTTAATGAAATTATTCCCATAGTCAAAAGCGCAAAATATCTTGGCCTGGTCATAAACAGTAAATTTAATTGGAAAGATCACGTCAAAACAGTTATCAACAAAGCACAAGCAGCATGCCACAGATTACAAATCCTTCTTCATCAGAACCCTAAAATGGAACTTAGACTTAAACGTTTACTCCATATCTCAATGATCCGTCTCATCCTAAGTTATGCATCTCCAGCTTGGTGCAACATCTCCACATCACTCCTTAAAAAACTTAAAATATGCCAGAATAAAATCCTCAGGAAAATAACAAAAGCAAGATGGTTTATCAGAAATAAAAACATACATCGCGACCTCAACATAGATTTTTTGGATCATCACATTGCAAAGCTAAATTTCAGATTTTTTGAAAAGACCGTAAATTGTGACACAGCAGGAGTCAATGAAATTTTTACTTTTGAAAACTTAAGAGAAGACATAAACCTCCGGCCGATGGCAGCTCATTTTTGTAGTGACGTAATTTTAACTAAAATACAAAATATTCAATTTCCTTATGGGTCATTCTCACTGAAAAGGTATAAATAGACGAAAAAAATTTCTTAAATTAAAGTAATTAAAAAAGTGATAAAAATTATATAAATTCCTTTATTTATTTTTGTTATATGTCCTTATAATAATGGTCAAGTTTTTTATTTTATTTTTTACAAGATTTAAAATATTTTAAATTCTGCCTTGTCCACGGAGGAGATGTAATAGTCAACGGAGGAGACATTTTATGTTATAAAATATAAAATGTCAATGAAGACTAATTCATTAATTATTGGGTACAACTGATATGAGTTTAACATTAATAAGTAAATAATAAAATATTTCATTATTAGAGATAGAGCTACTTCCGATTAATCATGCTGCTATGAAAGGAAACATCCA